TTTTTTTTTTTTTTTTTTTTTTTTTTTTTTTTTTTTTTTTTTTTTTTTTTTTTTGTAAAGGCAATTTTAAAAGTCAATTCAACTTTACAATTTAATTTTTTTTGTCGTTTATAATTTTTTAAAATAAAATATAAAATATATATTTTTAAATATTCTTTGTAGTTTTCTATTTCTTGTTATATTATATATTTTTAATTTTATTTGGTAGGCTAATATTTTAATATTTACTAATTTGCAAATGAAAAATGTTTGTAACTATGTCTAGTGGTATAATTAATTCAGAAGACTATAGAAGAAGATCATGATTGCAATTTATAAAATTAAAACTTTTGGCTTTTTTAAAAAAAATATTTTAATATTTTTTTAGAACTCTAAAAAATTGTGTTTATTATGAAAAAAAATAATGCTAAATTATACATAATATTAAGGACAAAAATTATTTGTTGGTGGAACACGACAAATATTTTTGAATAAAATAAGATTAGGTTAGATTTTGTTGATATCTTTTTAAAAATTTCAATTTTGAAGATATAATTGTATTTAGAAAAACAGAAATGGAAAACATGATGATATATTTTGAAGACAGAAATTCAAACAATTTTTTATATGAATTACTTTTGTCATTTTTATATTATTTTTTTACCTTTTAATCGTGTTGATTTTGACCACTAGAAGTTCGAGCAAAAGACCCATATGTAAAAACGCTTTGAATTTATATAGGTTATTATATTATATGAGAGTGTTAGAATGTTACCCACTAATCTCTAACGATGAACTATTTATAATGATAGAATTTATATATGTACTATAGTTGGTAATTACACGGTCACACCCTACATGATATGAACTCATATGCTAGGTCACTCCTCTGTTCTATTAATGTTGTGCCCTACACAATAACACATGAGGTCACTCTCTATATGTACTAGATCTATTAGGGTCTATCCTAACGAGATGAGCATGCATTTGAAGACACTTCCTACATGTGTATGATGTGATTCTATTAGAGTCGTACGACCTGACGTTTCCTATGTTTTTCGAGTAAGATTATGTTTCTAACTCCTTATTTGGTCAAGTTCCCAAAATGGTAGCGGCTACAAAAGTCTTTATCACCCATGTAAACGAAAGGACAAACTCTTTTAGACAAGAACTCGTAACTCACTAAGAACCAAGATCAAGTCGCATATGATCAACATGTGAAATGTTAATTTTCTCAATTAATAAATTTAGAAAGAAATTAAATATTTGTTAGCTAGTCTTATACAAATTTATTGTATAGGATAACAGCACTCTCGCAAATCTCCACATGAACGATTTGGATCAAATTGTTTGAATAATTATAAAATGAGTCTTATCAATAGTGTTACCAAGACACTTAATTTCAACCCTGTACTATTATATACATGAAGCCCCATAGCATCATCCTTTAGCAAACATCACATACATATTTACTTTTGTTCTCAATATATAACATTAATGATATTCATACGATACATGACTATTTTATGAACCATCATTCAAAACATTCCAAATAACACCATCCACTTAACCAAAAGTTGTTGAATCAACCAAATACAAATTATTAACATTACGAATCAATCAAACTAAATTTTGAAACTTAATCGAAAAGATATTAGTCAACTCAGCTAAAACATACTCAACAATGATTTTAAATTTCGTTTGATCAGTCTAAAATTACAAAATAAGTTTAGATGGGTTCTTTTTCAAGCTCATTTTGAATACGATGCAGTATAGTACTCGTAACCCTACTAGTGGCTACGAGTCATGCTGTAACGACAAAGCATATCGTATGGGGTGAAGTCCACTCTTATTAAAGAAGGAGATGATGAACTCCTACTCAACTCTTAAAGTCGTTCAAACATACACGTTAGACTTATACCTACTATAATCTAGCATACAAGTTCAAATTCTTGTTGGTTGGTATAAGAATTTAGCTTCCATATATATATATGAAAAGGAAAGTATATTAAAAATATAATTTAATATATGGATATCTTCCACACGAAGGCATTTTAAAATTATTTTAAATTGGTATAAAGTTGAAGACTTTTAGTTTAGGCAGATACCAACTAACTCCATGACTTTTATTCTTTTGACCTAATAATCCAAATTACATTATTCCTAATAATTTCAATTTTATTTCATTTTTATCGCTACCATTTTTTTTTTAAATAGAATAACAATATTAAAAATGATCCAAAACTTAGTTTTTGTCGGGTTATAAGAATTTAATCAAAGACTAAAAGAAGTAACATAATGAGTTCGTAATCCAATTTGAAAATAGAAATTTGTAAATTTCTTTGATTTGATAAGATAATATAGAAGGTTCGTTTGAATATTTCGAGTTTGACTCAGTTGATTCACATGGGTGCAACTTGCACCTAAAGAAAAGATCACGAGAAAAGCTTTCCTCTAATAGTAAGATGTTCTCGAGTATCATGAAGGTTATGAAACTATAATTATGTTAAAAAATGATTGTTTTGATTACTAAGATATTATGCTACCCTTTATTACTACCGTATCTTACATTTACTAAAGAAACATGAAATTATTTGCTCCACTCATAGTTGGATTTACACCAAACTATGGGTGCTCGATGAGTAGATCCCAGATTGACTACGTACTTGAGAGTGGGAAATCAAATACAAGTTCATCTTTGCTAGTGATCATCTTAACAAGAGAGTAATCCTTTGAAAATAAGACGTTAACGAAGATACTCAATTATTCCACTCAAATACCTAAATACAATCAAAACCGAGACCTAAATACAAACAAAACCCGTACACAAAAAGATAAAGTATTACACATAAATGGATAAGATTGGATCTAAAAGCTGTTTTTCTTTTTATGAATAAATATTTAATTAAAAGAAAAGAAAAAGTTAAGCAAATTTTCATGCGACACACAAAGTGAATTGTTCGTGGTCGAGAGAGAGAGAGAGAGAGAGAGAGAAGGTTGTTATAGACGAGGATTAAGTTGTCTGAGATTTTTGTTCTGTCGTAATTTAAACCAAACCAAACCAAACCAAACCAGACCAGACCAGCCAGACCGAACCTGTTTTCCTTTTGTGTCGCTACAAAAGGCCGGAGTGTTGTTCTGTAACAGAACATCCTTAAAACTCTTGGAATGGAAAAGAGTGAAGAAGAAGAAGATCAGACGGTGATGGAACTGCCACCTGGATTCCGATTCCACCCGACGGATGAGGAGCTGATCACACACTATCTTTCCCAGAAAGTGGTTTCCTCTGGTTTCTGTTCTCCAGCAATCGCGGAAGTGGATCTCAACAAGTGCGAGCCGTGGGATTTGCCTGGTAATTCCGCAGCCACTGAATGGTTTTTGAGGCTTTGTCTTTGTGTAACAGTTGAATTTGTGTACAGGGAAGGCTAAAATGGGGGAGAAAGAATGGTACTTTTTCTGTGTGAGAGATAGGAAGTACCCTAGTGGTTTAAGGACGAACAGGGCCACAAAGGCAGGGTATTGGAAGGCCACCGGCAAAGACAGAGAGATTTTCAAAGGGAGGTGTCTTGTTGGGTTCAAGAAAACTCTGGTTTTTTACAAAGGCAGAGCCCCTCGTGGACAAAAGTCCAATTGGGTCATGCATGAATACAGATTACACGCCCAATCCTCTGCTTTTTCCCAGGTAAACACACAACAAAAACCCCACTTTTTGTTCTGAAGTAGACTCTTGGTTCGACACTCGAGTCAACATTTGAGGATTCTGTTGACATGGGTAAGTTAAGAGAATGAATCTGATACTATGTTAAGAATAACGACTCTGTACGATGGTATGATATTGTGGCATAAGCTCTTATTACTAATAAACCCATGTTCATTTCCTAACTTAGCGAATGTGGGACTCGGATTCAACAATCCTCAACAATTTTGTTCTTTTCTACGAGAAGTTAAATGTAATGAATTTTGATGAATATGGTGGCAATTTGATTAAAGTATAGAGACTAAAATGAAAAGGGGTGTTTTGTTGGATGCAGAAGGAATGGGTGATATGCAGAGTATTGAAGAAGAGGAGTGGGAAGAAGGGGGAGGAAACAGGAATGTCATCCACGGTGCTTCCGCCATTAATGGAGTCGGAGGCGTCGCTCGTGACCTGCTTC